AGGAGTCTGAGAGTGGAGAGGGGGAGTCTAGGAGTGGAGAGGGAGGAGTCTGGGAGTGGAGAGGGAATAGTCTGGGAATGGAGAGGGAGTCTGGGAGTGGAGAGGGAGTCTGGGAGTGGGTTATGACGGGTGAGTGGAAGTCGAAGATCACTGGGTTATGACGGGCGAGTGAAGGTTGAAGATCACTGGGTTATGACGGGTGAGTGAAGGTTGAAGATCACTGGGTTATGACGGGTGAGTGAAGGTTGAATATCACTGGGTTATGACGGGTGAGTGAAGGTTGAAGATCACTGGGTTATGACGGGTGAGTGAAGGTTGAAGATCACTGGGTTATGACGGGTGAGTGGAAGTTGAAGATCACTGGGTTATGACGGGTTAGTGGAGGTTGAAGATAACTGGGTTATGACGGGTGAGTGAAGGTTGAAGATCACTGGGTTATGATGGGTGAGTGAAGGCTGAAGATCACTGGGTTATGACGGGTGAGTGAAGGTTGAAGATCACTGGGTTATGACGGGTGAGTGAAGGTTGTAGATCACTGGGTTATGACGGGTGAGTGAAGGTTGAAAATCACTGGGTTTTGACGGGTGAGTGAAGGTTGAAGATCACTGGGTTATGACGGGTGAGTAAGGTTGAAGATCACTGGGTTATGACGGGTGAGTGAAGGTTGAAGATCACTGGGTTATGACGGGTGAGTGGAAGTCGAAATTTACTGTGTTATGACGGGTGAGTGGAAGTCGAAGATCACTGGGTTATGACGGGCGAGTGAAGGTTGAAGATCACTGGGTTATGACGGGTGAGTGAAGGTTGAAGATCACTGGGTTATGACGGGTGAGTGAAGGCTGAAGATCATTGGGTTTTGACGGGTGAGTGAAGGTTGAAGATCACTGGGTTATGACGGGTGAGTGAAGGATGAAGATCACTGGGTTATGAAGGGTGAGTGAAGGTTGAGATCACTGGGTCATGACGGGTGAGTGAAGGTTAAAGATCACTGGGTTATGAGGGTGAATGAAGGTTGAAGATCACTGGGTTATGACGGGTGAGTGAAGGTTGAAGATCACTGGGTTATGACGGGTGAGTGAAGGTTGAAGATTACTGGGTTATGACGGGTAAGTGAAGGTTGAAGATCACTGGGTTATGACGGGTGAGTGGAAGTCGAAGACCACTGGGTTATGACGGGTGAGTGAAGGTTGTACATCACTGGGTTATGACGGGTGAGTGAAGGTTGAAGATCACTGAGTTATGACGGGTGAGTGTAGGTTGAAGATCACTGGGTTATGACGGGTGAGTGAAGGTGGAAGATAACTGGGTTATGACGAGTGAGTGAAGGTTGTAGTTCATTGGGTTATGACGGGTGACTGAAGATTGAAGATAACTGGGTTATGACGGGTGAGTGAAGGTTGAAGATCACTGGGTTATGACGGGTGAGTGAAGATTGAAGATCACTGGGTTATGACGGGTGAGGGAAGGTTGTAGATCACTGGGTTATGACGGGTGAGTGGAAGTTGAAGATCACTAGGTTATGACGTGTGAGTGGAGGTTGAAGATAACTGGGTTATGACGGGTGAGTGAAGGTTGAAGATCACTGGGTTATGATGGGTGAGTGAAGGTTGAAGATCACTGGGTTCTGATGGGTGAGTGAAGGTTGAAGATCACTGGGTTCTGACGGGTGAGTGAAGGTTGTAGATCATTGGGTTATGACGGGTGAGTGAAGGTTGAAGATTACTGGGTTATGACGGGTGAGTGAAGGTTGTAGATGACTGGGTTATGACGGGTGAGTGAAGGTTGAAGATCACTGGGTTATGACGGGTGAGTGGAGGTTGAAGATCACTGGGTTATGACGGGTGAGTGAAGGCTGAAGATCACTGGGTTATGACGGGTGAGTGAATGTTGAAAATCACTGGGTTTTGACGGGTGAGTGAAGGTTGAAGATCAATGAGTTATGACGGGTGAGTGAAGGTTGAAGATCACTGGGTTATGACGGGTGAGTGGAAGTCGAAGATCACTGGGTTATGACGGGCGAGTGAAGGTTGAAGATCACTGGGTTATGACGGGTGAGTGAAGGTTGAAGATCACTGGGTTATGACGGGTGAGTGAAGGTTGAATATCACTGGGTTATGACGGGTGAGTGAAGGTTGAAGATCACTGGGTTATGACGGGTGAGTGAAGGTTGTAGATCACTGGGTTATGACGGGTGAGTGGAAGTTGAAGATCACTGGGTTATGACGGGTTAGTGGAGGCTGAAGATAACTGGGTTATGACGGGTGAGTGAAGGTTGAAGATCACTGGGTTATGATGGGTGAGTGAAGGCTGAAGATCACTGGGTTATGACGGGTGAGTGAAGGCTGAAGATCACTGGGTTATGACGGGTGAGTGAAGGTTGAAAATCACTGGGTTATGACGGGTGAGTGAAGGCTGAAGATCACTGGGGTATGACGGGTGAGTGAAGGTTGAAAATCACTGGGTTTTGACGGGTGAGTGAAGGTTGAAGATCACTGGGTTATGACGGGTGAGTGGAAGTCGAAGATCACTGGGTTATGACGGGCGAGTGAAGGTTGAAGATCACTGGGTTATGACGGGTGAGTGAAGGTTGAAGATCACTGGGTTATGACGGGTGAGTGAAGGTTGAATATCACTGGGTTATGACGGGTGAGTGAAGGTTGAAGATCACTGGGTTATGACGGGTGAGTGAAGGTTGTAGATCACTGGGTTATGACGGGTGAGTGGAAGTTGAAGATCACTGGGTTATGACGGGTTAGTGGAGGTTGAAGATAACTGGGTTTTGACGGGTGAGTGAAGGTTGAAGATCACTGGGTTATGACGGGTGAGTGAAGGTTGAAGATCACTGGGTTATGACGGGTGAGTGAAGGCTGAAGATCATTGGGTTATGACGGGTGAGTGAAGGTTGAAGATCACTGGGTTATGACGGGTGAGTGAAGGTTGAAGATCACTGGGTTATGACGGGTAAGTGGAAGTCAAAGATCACTGGGTTATGACGGGTGAGTGGAAGTCGAAGATCACTGGGTTATGACGGGCGAGTGAAGGTTGCAGATCACTGGGTTATGACGGGTGAGTGAAGTTTGAAGATCACTGGGTTATGACGGGCGAGTGAAGGTTGCAGATCACTGGGTTATGATGGGTGAGTGAAGTTTGAAGATCACTGGGTTATGACGGGTGAGTGAAGGTTGAAGATCACTGGGTTATGACGGGTGATTGAAGATCACTGGGTTATGACGGGTGAGTGATGGTTGAAGATTACTGGGTTATGACGGGTGAGTGAAGGTTGAAGAGGACTGGGTTATGACGGGTGAGTGAAGGTTGAATATCACTGGGTTATGATGGGTGAGTGAAGTTTGAAGATCACTGGGTTATGACGGGTGAGTGAAGGTTGAAGATCACTGGGTTATGACGGGTGATTGAAGATCACTGGGTTATGACGGGTGAGTGATGGTTGAAGATTACTGGGTTATGACGGGTGAGTGAAGGTTGAAGATTAGTGGGTTTTATGACGGGTGAGTGACGGTGGAAGATCACTGGGTTATGACGGGTGAGTGAAGGTTGAAGATCACTGGGCTATGACGGGTGAGTGAAGGTTGAAGATCACTGGGTTATGACGGGTGAGTGAAGGTTGAAGATCACTGGGTTATGACGGGTGAGTGAAGTTGAAGATCACTGGGCTATGACGGGTGAGTGAAGGTTGAAGATCACTGGGTTATGACGGGTGAGTGAAGGTTGAAGATCACTGGGTTATGACGGGTAAGTGAAGGATGAAGATCACTGGGTTATGACGGGTAAGTGAAGGATGAAGATCACTGGGTAATGAGAGAAGCTGCTTTAACATCAGCTGAACAATGGAGGAGAGATATTTAATATGGAAATATTAATATATGAGGAGACGTTAAGATCTACTGTAATGAGGTCAACTTTAGCTGTGAGGGTCGCAACGGAACGTGTCATGCTGGAACAATGAAGGTTAGGCCCTAGTTCCTGGGACAGTGCTGCTGCCTGCACCATGAAAGCTAGACTCTAGCTCTAGGACACTGCTGCTGCTGGCACCATAAAGGCTAGACTCTAGCTTCTGGCACATTTCTGTTGCTGGGACCATGAAAGCTAGGTTCTAGTTCCTGGCACACTGCTGCTGCTAGCACCATGAAGGCTTGATCCTAACTCATGGGACACTGCTGCTGCTAGCACTATGAATTCTAGATTCTAGCTCCTGGGACACTGCTACGGCTGGTACCACGAAGGCTTGACTCTAGCTTCTGGATGCTGCTGCTGGCACCATGAATGCTAGATTCAAACTCCTGGGACACTGCTGCTGCTAGCATCATGAAGGCTACACCTAGAAGCATGGAAAGACTGCGGGCAGAGGGTGACCTGGAAAGTGGAGGATGACTTGAGAAGAAAGTGACCTGAGGAAATGACGGGTGGCTTAGCGGGTGGAGGGTGACAAGGGTAAGAGGAAGTTAACCTGGGCAGTGGAGGGTAACCTTGGGTTTGGGGAGGGAGGGGTGACCTGAGTGGAGAGTGACCTGGGGAGGAGTCTGGGAGTGGAGACGGGAAATCTGGGAGTAGAGAGAGAGGAGTTTGGAAGTGGAGAGGAGGAGCTTGAGAGTGAAGATGGAGGAATCTAGGAGTGGAGAGGGTGAGTCTGGAATTGGAAAGAGAGGAGTCTGAGAGTGGGGAAGTCTGGGAATGAAGAGGGGGAGTCTGGGAGTGGAGAGGGAGAGTCTGGGAGTGGAAAGGGAGGAGTCTGAGAGTGGAGGGGGGGAGTCTAGGTGGAGAGGGAGGAGTCTGGAAGTGGAGAGGGAAGAGTCTGGGAGTGGAGAGGGAGGAGTCTGAGAGTGGAGAGGGGGAGTCTAGGAGTGGAGAGGGAGGAGTCTGGGAGTGGAGGGGGAATAGTCTGGGAATGGAAGAGGGGAGTCTGGGAGTGGAGAGGAGTCTGGGAGTGGAGAGAGAAGAGTCTGTGAGTGGAGAGGGAGGAGTCTGGGAGTGGAGAGGGAAGAGTCTGGGAGTAGAGAGGGAGGAGTCTGGGAGTGGAGAAGGGGAGTCTAGGAGTGGAGAGAGAGGAGTCTGGGAGTGGAGAGGGAATAGTCTGGGAGTGGAGAGGGAGTCTGGGAGTGGAGAGGGAGTCTGGGAGTGGAGAGAGAAGAGTCTGTGAGTGGAGAGGGAGGAGTCTGGGAGTGGAGAGGGTAGAGTCTGGGAGTAGAGAGGGAGGAGTCTGGGAGTGGAGAGGAAAGAGTCTGGGAGTGGAGAGGGCAGAGTCTGGGAGTGGAGAGGGGGGAGTCTGGAAGAAGAGAATGCGTGACTTTCAGGACGACATGATTATGAGGAGGCTGCGGCTGCGGCTCCAGGGGAAGTGAGGAAGAAGACCTGAAGGTGACGATATTGTCCTCGAGTTAAACATGTGATAGGGAGTTTAATGACAAAGTGACGGTTGAAACAACGTGAGAGAAATGTATCTTGAGCTGGTATATAAACCTGGAAGTGGGAAAAGTCTAGGAATGAGGAAAAGGATCTCGAGACAAGGAGAATGATCTCGAGGCAAGAAGAATGATCTCGAGGCAAGGAGAATGATCTCGAGGCAAGGAGAATGATCTCGAGGCAGGGAGAATGATCTCGAAGCAAGGAGAATGATCTCGAGGCAAGGAGAATGATCTCGAGACAAGGAGAATGGTCTCGAGACAAGGAGAATGGTCTCGAGACAAGGAGAATGATCTCGAGGCAAGAAGAATGATTCTGAATGATATGGGGAAAAACGAATAATGAACTGGGAATATGATGTATTGTACAAGATTATGACGTAGGAATGAGCGAGTCTGACCTAAACAAATTAAATGGGAGAGAGGATTGCCCTGGGAGGTAAAACTTTAGAGAGATATTGTGACGTAAGAAGAGGGAAGAGTATAAAAGGAAGACAGGTTTGAATTTGGAGTTGGTATGAAGAAGAGGAAGGAAAGAAATGTGATGGAAGGAAAGGGGGGGAGGGAGGGAGGGGTCGAAAGGAGGGAGGGAGGGGGAAAAGTATGGGGTGAGGAGGGAGCTAAGGGTTGAGGTGAGGGTTGACTAAGGGGAGAGGGGGTTATGGGAAAGTATCATTACCTGCAGTCCCACCTCAGTCTCGGCCAGATCTTCGGTCTGAGGGTTGGTCGAGGCCGTGTCATGATCCCCCTCAATGGACAGGTCTAACAGCCCCGGGTCCTCGTGACCAGACAGGTCATCAGTAAAGGACCCGGGACCTGGGTTGTCGTCGCCAGACCTGTCGTCGAGGTCACACTCGCGCCCTAACGCAGCAACCACTACCTCATTGAGCCTGTCATAGAGTGCACTGTTCTCTGGGAAGGGATCCTGAGGAGGCTCGGAGAGGTTATCTCCGAAGTCCTCCTGTCCACCTGTCTCACTGTGTGTGCTGTTACTGCTGTGAGTGCTGCTGTGACTGCTGTTACTGATGCTATCTGGTGCCTGATGCTGCTCTTGTTGTGCTGTGTCCTGTTGTGCTTCATAAGACAGGTCGAGGTGGTTGAGGAGACCAGGGGATGCTGAGCTTACCTCATGTGTAGGAGTGCCGAGTTCCCGCTCATGCTCGGCGTTCATGTCTGCTGGTGGCCCTGTGCGCTCATCTGCTGCTGTTCTCGTTTGCTGGTCCACACCACTGTTGTGCTGGTTCACGTCCATGTTGTGAAGGTCTACACCGGTGGTGTTGTGGTGTTCCGTGTCGCCCTCTAATGGTTCTGCAGCGTTGTGGACTTCGGCGGAGTTGTTGTGATAGTCTGACCCAGAGTTATGATGCTCCAAGCTATTGCTATGGTTCTCTGGAGGGCTACTGTCAGAACTGGCCTGCTGCTGCTGCTGCTGCTGCTGCTGCTGCTGCTGCTGATGCTGCTGTTGATGATGCTGCTGCTGCTGTTGATGCTGCTGCTGCTGCTGCTGCTGTTGCTGCTGATCGCCACCCTCGGCTAGTGACTGATCTTCGCTGTACTCAGCAGCCAGACGCAGCCCCACATAACTGTTGCCTTGCTGTCGTTTCAAGTGGTACTCCAGGTCGAGAAACTCGTCCCCACGTCCACCTTGTTCTTTAAAGAATTCCTCTAAAACTTTTCTAGTCTCAGACATCTCGTAGGAGTAGTCGTACATGTCAGTGTCTAAGGTGGTGGTGTTGGGCTGTGTGCTAAGGTTCCCTGAATACGAGGAGGTGAGGGTGGATATAGCTATGACTGGCGGCGCCGGCGACACACTCTCCTCCTCAGAGCAAGAGTCAGGTCCTGGTAGGTCACTACTGGGATCTTCCTGGGGCGTCACTTCTCTTTCGTCACCCTGGGGCACGCTCGACTCACTCGAGGTTGCCGCTGGGGGTTCACACGAGGATTCCCTGGCAGCCTCTTCCTCTGCCAGGATCCGTCGTGGGAAGCCAGGTCGGGGAGGTCGTGGAGGCGGCGCGTGGTGGCCCCCTCGGGGACTGTTAGTCCTGGGGGAGGGTCGGGGACCATACCGCCGAGGTGACCCTTCATAATCGGCGATGGGAACATTACCTATTTTGGTGACCTTGTGCGTGGTAGATTCTTGAGTGGAGTCAGAATCTGAGGGTGAAGTGGAGCGCTCGTAGGCGGCTAAGTACCCATGGTCGCCATGTTCAGTGGTGTCCACCGAGTGTTGTGCCGTGGGCGAGGACGGAGAGCCCGGCCGGTCATCCAGCGCCCGTACGGTCAGGCCCCGTGCCACCCACTCCCCGATGTCATCAAAAACGACTTCGGAAGACCCCGTGAGTCGCGTCTCGTACACCAACGGTGACTCCCGCACCGAGCAGCCGCGACCCCGCTCCTCGCTGTCCCCGGGAGACTCAGGCCAGTGCTGCTCTTGTTGTTGCCGCTCCTGCTGGTACTGCTGTTGCTGGCCTCTCCGCCGCTGTGACTCGTCATGTCTACGCCGTGCGGGCCGTGACCTGCTGTGGCTGAACACTTCCCGGCCTCCGGCGATCTCGATACGTGAGTCTCTAAGCCGGAAGTGTTCCCGGCGCTGTGGCTGGTGGCGGGAGGCTGGGGGAGGCTGTGGCGCCTCTTCGTAAGAGGAATCTAACACTGACGACCTCATGTATCTGTCCTCATAGTCGTCGTAGGCACTAACTACTGACACATCCACGTCCATGTCCACGTCCTCGGCACTGCGTTCCATTTTGGACTCTGAGTGTGAGCCAGAGTGGGAGTCCGACCTGGAACCCGGCGTGGAACCGGAACGGGATCCGGATCCACTGTCCACGGACATGCGCCCGCTGCTCCCGCTGTCACGACTCAACTTGGAGTTGTCGTAGAGCCTGGGCAGGTCGCCGGTGGGGTGCTGGGGTTCGTAGTTGTCGTTGTCGTCAGAGTCGAGGACACAGTTGAGGTTGAGGCGAGAGCGGCGGACGTCAGTGGGCGTGGTGGTGGGCGTGGTGGTGGGCGTGTGGGTGGCGGAGCGAGGTCGGCACTTGGGGAACAGACGGCTGATCTCCGAGTCCGACCCCTCCACGGCCTCCAGCGGCTCCCCCATGACGCTCCTCACCACCAACCTGCGGGACCAATAAACGTTAGTCACACCTCACTCTCACTCACTTTCCATCACTACTACTCACATTCACCCTAACTCACACACTCCCTCCCCCTTCTTTATCTCGCACTCACACTCACTCGCTACCACTTACCACCAACAACACCAAACCTTGTCGGTGACCTCTCATTCGCTCTGAATCACCCATACCATCACCATCACTCACTTTCACTTACCAACCTGCAGGAACAAACTTTGTTAGTAGCCTTTCTCTTATTCCCACAATCACTCACCACATAACACTAACTTTTTTGGTGAAATGTTTATTATCTACCACACTACAGTACAGGCAATGCCTACCATTCTACAACCACAGTGTCATCGTGACAAAGACACAACAACATCGTGAAGACAACACTCCACAGTCCACAGTGTCAGAACAACAAGAAGCTAGTGTCAAAACACCACTGTTACAAGCCACAGTATAAGACCAAATACAAACAACGGTGTAAGATCAATACCCTCACTACAAGTCAGTGTCAGACCACCACCACAAACCACAGCGTAAGAGCACCACCACTAACCACAGTATACCTGTGACCGGTTTCGATTTTTTTTTTACCCTCGTAGCCCGGCCTGGGTTTATACTTTTATGTTGATTGTCTGCTCATCTAGTTTGGCTGATCTGGCACTTGGCAGAGGTAATGATTCAGTTACCTCTTGAAAACTTCACACTTATTCCAGCAACATTTATAATAGCTACTGGTAGCAGGTTGAATATTCTTGGACCAGATATGTTGGCACAATGTTCTCTTATTATTCCCAGCTTTTTCATTGGGTCTATTGCACAGTACCTGTATTTCACTACAGTACGTTATGGTAGTGAGTGGAGTACGGAGTACGCCGTCAAGTACTTACTAAATCATATAAGGCACATCTCTGCTTTGCACTAGATAAAGAGAGAAACTTAAGCTGTCGTACCAGACAGATGAAGCACAAAGGGAGCAAAAAGCCATTTAGGATACTGCAAGAAACCCCAAATATTATCATACATATGCAAAATACAAGCTAATAACTGCCTGTAGAATTGGATCATTAATAACATGAGGTTCAAACCTGAATGATGAACAGGAAATGAGTGAAATTATAAAATACCAATATGAGTCGATGTTCAGAAACCCACTAAACGAAAGCAAGGTTGAGAATGCAGATTTTTTCAGTTACATCTGAAGGCCCTGCATACCAAATAATGTGGAGAAATTTACCTCCAACAAGGGGCTAAGGCCCCTCATTCCCACACTAGCAAGATGCAGGCCCCGGGGGTCATGACCCTCCCCCCTCTTTCCATTAGGGGGATTACATATTGTACATTGAAGTAACCGCTCAGTAATAGTATATCTTACAATGTAGTCCTAACCAAGGAGATTTAGACTGCAACTAAATTGGATCTAGATTGAATGTTGATAAGATGTACATTTAAGCCTGGTTGTGGAGACCAAGACAATCTTCCCTCCTGCTAAGAAGAACCCGTGAAATATTTCATTAAGTATTCTTAAATAGATTTATTAATATGCCTTTAGCCTAATAACATAGCTAGTACCATTAATTCAGCAATCAACACCTCGGAGTCAAGGAAGTCACATTCTCTGACCAAGCTACGTCGTCATAGCTGGCATCTGAACCTTCTAGATATTTGTCAGCAGAAAAATGACTATATAAGATGAGCCAGCGGAAGGCTTCGGTCAGATGACCAAAAGCTCCAGCTGCGGGTCATCATATGACTAAGGCCCGCATCAGAAAACACTTGTTCTCTTTCCTGACAAACCTTACCAACCAATCAACCAACCAACCAATCAACCAACCAACTAACCAAGATCATTGAACTCGACGAGCTGTAACGATGTAACCGCGAGTGAGCGAGTGATGCCGACAAAGCCACACCACATTGAAACGTAGAAAAAATTATGTTCATATCCGTGCGCACTTCGTGAAACTCAAGTCGTGCTCTGGCAATCTCCAAGGGAAACTGAAGCAGAGACAGTGTTGAAACACAAATAGGTAACCCTGTTAAGAGAGGTATCGCCAGTAAATCCTACTGTGGACATTATCCACGGACATATTAACGTTCACAGGTTAAACCTGTGGACGAGTGATGATGAAGTCAGGTGACATTAAGCAAGTCGACAAGAGGATGATGTATATTCCTAAACGACGTTCAACACTGCCAAAGTGACGAAAGAAGTAAAGGCTCCTTGTGATTCAATGGAGCATAAACGTCATATCTTCAGTCAAGCCATCGATACGGGCATCAACAATGTGGTAATGTCAATGCTCCCACTACATATGAACCGTCATGGGAGGGCATTCCGCCCAATCCAGGTAAGATATTTATGCTCTCCTCAGATACTTATATCTGTCATAATGTAGCACATATATGTCGGGAGGGGGTGTTAATTATGGTTACCCCGCTTTATTACAGCACCGTGGGACACAAGACAGCCGACACGACGAAGGAAGACGCCTCCAAGGGTGCCGCTGCTAGAAGTTTTAGGCTGCCACCTTTAACATGAATACCCCCAATGGTCTTTAATGCTGTAATCAGCTAAATAAATTTCTATAAATAACAAAGTACCACTAGCATGAGAAACCTTATAACGCAGACATAGCTCCTTTGCGAAAGGGTGGCAGTAGAGTACAAACGAAAAATTACAGACCAGTAGCCCTACATCCCACATATATCTTCGAAAGAGTAATGAGACGCCAAATTACAAATTTTGTTGACACATCCTCACAACCTAAACCAGCATTGTTTCAGAGCCGGGAGGTCGTGCTTGTCATAACTACTAAACCACGACAGACTTACGGAGGCACTCGAAGAAAAACCATAACAGATATGGTATACACGGATTTTGCAAAGACGTTTGCAATCAAACAAAATGAGGACTATAAGTATGAAGGGAAAGAAGGTATTCAAATGTATTTTCAACTTTGACAGATGAAACACAAAGGTTAGTAGTAACAGAGTATTAGCGAGGTAAACAGCATTAGCGAAGTAAGAAGGTCAGTACCCTAAGGAATGGTCTTGGTGCCTCCACTGTTTCTTAGCCTCATAGCAAACACATAACAACACCCGTCATAGTTTTGTATTATATTTTGAGGATAACGCCAAATAAGTATGAAAGTCACCTCGGCAGAAGAAATGGAAAAAACTGCAGAAAGATAAAAGCAGGGTTTTCCAGTGGGCAGTAGAAAACATGACGTTCAATGATGTTACAAATGCATATGTATGGAAAAAATGAAAAGTCAAAAAAGATATTGAATACAACACCCAAGAGGATCATCAAACAGAAAGAAACATGTGGAAGACCTTGGAATAATCATGTCGGTTGACCTTTTTTCAAAGAACACAATAAGGCAAACGTCACGACAGTCAGAGAGATAACGGGGTGGATAATGAGAACTTTCAGAACTAGTGAAACAGTTCCAATGGTGACACTATTCGAATCGATTGTTTTCTCCTTCTCCATTCAGGGCAGGTGAAATATCTGAGCCGAAACAGATACATATAATTTACGGCCTGCACAGAGCCAATAAGTTACTGGGAACATTTCAGTTATAAATATGTACTTGCTGGAGCAGAGGAGAGATGCATTACAATATATACGTGTTAAATACTTGTAGGCCTAGTCCCAAATCTGCACACAGTTATAACATACTGGAGTGAAAGATATGGGAGGAAGTATAAAATAAAATCAGTGAAGGACAGGAGCGTTCTGGGTACAATAAGAGAACAGTGTATCAACATTTTATCAGAAGATAACAGAAACACTACTGGGACGAGAGTACAGGTTTTCAAGATAAAATTGGACAAATATCTCCACCAAGTGCCATATCAATCCAGCCGTCATGGATATTTGGGCCAGTGGGTTGCCAGCACCAACAGCCTGGCTGTCTAGGCAAGCCTGGTCAACCAGGACCGGGCTCCGGGAGTAGAAAAACCTCTCGAAAGTCATCAAATGTATATCAAAGGAGATGATTTTCATGCTTATTTTAGTATCCTCTGCTAACGATGATAAAAGATGTGGCTAGTTTTTTTTTTTATCTCTGCAATAAGAATGAGAAATAAAAGAGCAGAACCGTGTCTTGGGGTACTGAACTTTTTTACTACTTTTCCTGTTATACCAGTTGACTTTATTTAATGGGTAATCATTCCATGACCGCATTTGTCAAATGCCTTAGGAAAATCAGTGTTGACCACATCTACGTTTTGGTTTTCTGATAGAATAGTTGTCATAATGATCTTCCAGCTCCAAATCCATTTTGACTTTGGTAGGTAATGCTTTTCCTCAAAAATTGTAATTTATGGTATGTGAAGATAGTGCTCCTAGTTTTTTTTTTTCAGAGCTGTAGTGACTCGTTCGTGTAGAGAACCTGTATCTGCAGTTTTTCAGGACTCTGGGATCTCAACTAAATTTAAACTCTTCCTCCAAAGAATATTAATAGCTCGTGCCAGTGATGTTTTGCACTTTATAAATAACGAGTTCCACGAATCAGCTTCAGGTGCTGCATACGTGGGTATTTTCTATTGCCTTTTCAAATTCCCGATGATTTTTGTTCATGTCAGATGTGATTTGTGGGATGGGCAGAAGTAACGAAAAAAAAAAAAACTAATCTGGATACTCAACTGTACCGTCGTTTAGTGGGTTGCTCAACAATGAGTTATGCTGGTTATTCAAAATTTCGCTCTTTTCTTTTTCGTCATCAATGTATGAACTACTGTGAGTAGTGAGACAATTCTAGGGTTGTGGATTTTTTTTTCTGGAGGGGGGGAGTAATTTCCAGAAGCATCTGTTGTTCCTTTTAATCTTCTCCCGTCTGGTATGAAGGTTTTTCTGTTCTGTATCGATCATCTCTCGATGCAGAGTATCTTTTCTTCGCAGGTCTGACCCCGGGCCCAGCAGCGAGAGTAGGAAAACTCTTGAAACAGGTCACAGGTTTGGAGTGACATGTTCGTTTTCAAGC